GTGCTGGCCCTGTTGCTCTGTGGACATTCCTGGGACCCCAGTGAGGGACATGGTCGTGCACCTCTATGGCTGTGGTGGCTCCGTGCGAGAGTTGTCTCCTCCCATGCAGGAGAGCCAGGTTTGGTTCCCAGCCCGTGTGCCCCAGGCACGGCCACTGCCCCTCTGTCCACACAGGCTTGCATGTTGCTCTGAGGCTGACCAGATCTCAGTGGAGCCTCCAGACTCAGACAGACCAGGAAGAGAGGCTGACAATCTCTCCCTGAAAATCAGCCAACAAAACCCACAACAGCTCAGGTCGCAGCCAACCTTGGAGACGGCACAGGGTCAGATGGCATTTTGTTTCATTGTGTATGGGGTCACCGTGAGTCGGGGGCTGGTTGGACAGTGATGAAGAACAGGGAAGCCTGGCTGATGTCTACCCTGCCGTTTAAACTTTAAGATAATTTTATCCAAATCCAAAAAGAGAAAAAAGAAAACAACTGTCAACATTTGAATCGGAAGTGCCATCCAGAGTATGTACAGTTGCGGTGTAGCTGATGTCCTCATGAACCTGGTGTGTCTTCCCCAAACCACAATATTTAAAAAGTCGGAGGTATTTTCTTCATGTAGGCTCTGTACCTTTCTTAAATTTGTTCCTAAAAACCAAACCCACTGCCATCTAGTCGATTCCAACTCATAGCAACCCCCATTGGGTTTCCAAGGCTATAAATCTTTACAGAAGTAGGTTGCCTCATCTTCCTCCTGTGGAGCAGCTAATAGGTTTGAACCACCAACCTTCTGGTTAGCAGCCAAATGTCTTACTTACTAAGCCAGCAGAAAACCAAAAACCAAACTCACTCCCGTCGAGTCAGATCTGACTCATAGCGACCTCTCCTTGGGTTTCTGAGGTGGTATCTCTATGGAAGTGGATTGCCCAGTCTTCCTTCCAAGGAGTGGCTGGTGTTTGAACCACCAGCCTTGTGGTTAGCAGTCAAGATCTTAGGCACTACGCTACCAGAGCTCCTTAAGCCAGCTGTTGTGTTGTTATGTGCCACTAAGTCGGACCCGACTCATAGCGACCCCTCCTTGGGTTTCCGAGGTGGTATCACTACGGAAGTAGATTGCCCCACCTTCCTTCCGAGGAGTGGCTGGTGGGTTTGAACCACGAGCAGCAGAGCTCCTTAAATTTGTTCCGAGGCGTTTGATATCTTTTATCATTATTGTGAGTGGAGTCCCTATTTCTGTTTGTAGCTTCTTAATGACAGTATGGGGCACAGTGGTGAAGGGCGTCCTGACCTTGGGCACCACGTGGAACGCCCCCAGTTTCCTCCTTGTAAATGGGGTGAGGACAGCATTGGCTCCCTCCCGACGGTGTGGGGTAGAAGGAGGAACTCCGCAGAGCAAGGCTGGTGGGCAGGTCCAGGGCAGGATGTGGAGGGTTGGGCTGGGGGTGTGGGGTGGGCACCCCAGGTGCAGCCCTGTGCACCCCTCACCCCGTCTGCAGTAGCCTGGACCCCGCAGTGCTCAGGGGTGTGTGCCAGGAGAACAAGCGGCCAGTTGGGGTTCTGCACCAGGAACAAGCTCATCGTCGTTTCTGCCACAGTCTCAGCTGCGTGGTCTAATTCCTGGTCCATGGGGACTCCTGAGGCACAGTGTATGCAGTGCTGGGGGGCTGAGTGGCAGATACGGCACGCCCTGCCACAGCTGCCGTGTGCATACCCTAAGAACAGCCTCTTTTGGACACGCAGTGGCTTTGGACCTGCCTGTGAGCAGGAAGCCACACCAAGTTAAAATGACCTCTGATTCCCTCCCCCAGGGCTCCCACGGTTTGCTGGCCAGCTCACCCCTTCTTAAACAGGGTCCTTCTTGCTTCCTCTTTGGCCAAGTGGTTCGGCCCAGGGCTCAAGAAGGCCTTGGGGTTTACACCTGCAGAGCCCGCGGGACCCCGGGCAAGACCAGGCCCCAGGTGCAGCAGAGCGCAGCGTCTGGTCGGTGCTCAATAAACATTTGTTTTCGTTACTAAGATCATTGCTGTCATTAGGTGCTATTCAGTTGATTCCAACTCATAGCAACTCATGCGAGGGTAGAACCCACGGGGTTTCCAAGGCTGCAGACCTTCACGGAAGTAGAGCCCCAGGTCCTTGTTCTGAGGAGCTGCGGGGTGGGTTTGAACCGGCAGCCTTCCTGTTAGCAGCTGAACTCTTAACGCTTGTGCTATCAGGGCCCCTTACTAGGCCCCTGTGACACACTGGAAGGGGTTCAGAGGCCATTCCACACTCTGTCCCTTGTGGTAGGACACCACTTACATCCTCTGTCAGATGGCAGCATTTCCAGGAGGGAGAAAGAGCTATTGGCCACTGTCACTTTAGTGTGAATTAGTTTGTATGGTGGGCTGTGAACAGGCCAAAGAGATCATAACCCCTCCTGGGATCGCAGGGTTTGTCCCTGACTCCCCCACGCACCCCTACAAGGCACCTAAAGGCAGCTCTATCCTGCCTCATTGTCTAGGGGTCCATCAGCAGAAATCTCCAAGCATCCACTCAATGACCCAGTTTGCCTGGAGCCATTGGCCTGAGCTCAACCTTGCAAACGGTGCAGATGTGGTTGCAATCTGACCGCAGGGCCCTTCGTTTTCTGGTAAAGAGCATTTCTGCAGCATCGGCCGAGTAGCCGCTCCTGTCTCCACAGTAACAATGAGGACTCATGGTTGTGGTCCCCCCACACCTCTGTGGTAGAGTGTCAGGCAGCTGGTGGTATGTGTGTTTGGGGCATGGCCCAGCCTGTTTTCAGACCAGAGCAAGCAACAAAAAAGTTGTTTTCGTCCCAGCAAAGGACCTCTCCTGCCCACAGGAGAGAGGGAGGTGGCTCCCGAGTAACCAGCAAAGGCAGCGTTTAGCACAGACTCCTTCAGGGAGGGGAGCCTCCCCAGTCTCGGTACTGCTTAGACTGGTGCAGTGTCAAAGTAGCGACATTAACCTCGAGAGCCCCAGAGAGGTAGGATGGAGAATCAGCACATGGGTGGTTGAATTCAGGGCAACCAGTGGGGCTGGTGTGGAGCCGGGCCTGCAAGCAGGGACTGGAATGGAGGGATTTCTGGACACAGTGGGCAGGGGTGGTGCCAGCCCCATACCCACACAGGTGTATGTGGGGGTTGGGTTTCGTGGTTTATTCCCAAGGTGTGAGTCCAGACAGCTTCCCTGGCACCATTAGGCAGCCCTTACGAGGTCTGGCAGCCAGGGGTCAGAGGACAGTCAGGGCCATCAAGGCTGGGGCCTGTGGCCAGTACCCGGAGAGGCCAGGGAGAGAATGGCTGACAGCATGGATCAGAACGGGGCGGGCAGGCAGCCGTCCCACCCGTGGGACTGCAGGGGAGGAGGGCAGGAACGAAGAGAGACCTGAGGGTGAGCCCCTCATGAAGGTGGGGTCAGAGAGAGCAGAAGAGGGTAATCGGGGAGGGGTGCTGGCCTGGCCCAGACAGCCCCTGAGACTCCAGACCCACGAGACCCAGAGATCCGCCATGCCCAAGGCCCTGGCTGATACACACAGCCCAGCAGCACCTGCCACGCTGGCCCTTGGGGACGTCATGAGGCAGCACAGCGGGGCCTCTCCGTTCTCCGCAGCCACCAAGGGCCAGGCTGGCTGTGGTGCTGGCGCACCCGAGGCTCTAATTACACGTCTCTGTCCTGCTCGCCAAGTCAGAGGGCGGTCGGGGAGGTTTGTGGGGCCTGTGAATCAGGAGCTCATGAGAAAAGTGGCGGCTGGCAGGGGAGAAATTAGCGCCTTGGTGCTGGTGGTAGGCAGTGGTTGGCAGCCCACGCGGGGCCCGTGGTCAGAGCCCGGCAGGCCTGCCCACCAACACACTCCCACCCCTGCCCCTCACCCCTCAGTCCACGTGCCCCACCACCATTCAGGGCGCTGACTCTCTACTGGACACAGGACCCAGAGGAGACACACGATACCCCAAGAAACTCACACACAACAACATTCAGCCACACACACACACACAACCACATGTAGTCACACAGACACACACACAACCACATGCAGTCACACAGACACACATGCAACCACACAAACACACATGCAACGAAACACAGCTATACACATAGCCACACACTCATACACACATGCAACCACACAGCCACACACACACAGCTACACACATAGCCACACTTGCATACACACAGGCAACCACAGAGTTACACACACACACAGAGGCAACCACACATAGCTACACGCACAGCCACACATGCAAACACAGGCAACCACAGTTACACACACACAAAGGCACACAACAGACACATACACATACAACTGCACAGACACACACACACACAGACAACCATACAAGCCACACACATACTCAACCACAACCACACATGCTTATAACTACATACAGGCATACATATGCAACTATACACATGCAATCACACATGTGTACAACCACACACACAAAGCTACATAAACCCCACACTTACAACTGCAACCAGAAAACAAACACACATAGACATACAAATACGCACATGCAACCACACACACGTGAAACCACACAAACACAAACAGAACACAAATACACATGCAATCGCACACGCACACAAAATACACACAAACACATATGCACAAAACACACATAAATACAACCACAAAACCACAACACAAACACATACAAAAAACACAGCCACACTTCTCTGAGTCTCACAAGCCAGCGTCTCCAGCAGCTCACTCTGCTTCCCATCCCTAACACACAATGCCCCTCAGGTCCTTCTATGGAATAGAAAGTGCTAGAACCAGGGAGAGTAGGGGGGCTCAGGAAGGTAAGGGATGAGTGACCAACGGGGACTTCAGCCGAGGGACCCTGAGCAAAGCGCCTGCCATCTCCCTGAACAAACAGGGTTGTGCTCAGCTGTGGCCTGTCCGGGCCCCAACTGCGCGGGGGCTGTTCTGACTCGTCAGCCTTTTGTCCCCAGGGGCCACCAAGGACATGGGGAAGATGCTTGGGGGTGACGAGGAGAAGGACCCCGATGCGGCCAAGAAGGAGGAGGAGCGTCAGGAGGCGCTGCGGCAGGAGGAGGAGGAGCGCAAAGCCAAGTACGCCAAGATGGAGGCCGAGCGCGAGGTCATGAGGCAGGGCATCCGCGACAAGGTGAGCGCGCGGGCGCCTGGGGCATCCGCGACAGGGTGAGCGCCCGGGTGCCCGGGGCATCCAGGGAGAGGTGGGCACGCGGATACCCGGGACCTCTGCGACAAGGTGAGTGTGCAGTCGCCTGAGATGTCCACGGTGAGGTGGGCACGCAGCACCCCTGAGTCATTCACAGCGAGATGGCTGGCCAGGTGAGGTCTCAGCCTCCTGCCTGGAGGAAACACCCTCTGCAGAAATGGTGAGGCCTGGCAGGTCACTCTCCCCGGGCTGAGCAGTGGTGACCCCACCCTGAGGTGAGTGAGGCTTCCTGGAGAGAGTGTCTGAGCCGAGCCTTTAGTGCTGAGGAACTGCCCAGGGTCCTCTTTCTCCTGTCCCATCTCCCCCTTGGCCATCAGGGTCTCCAGGGGCCAGGCTGCTCTGTCCCTACTGTCTCCATGGACTAGTTCTGAAGGGACAGCTCTTTGGGAGCCTCTGGCTGAATCCTAGGTCCTCTGGTGGCCGCAGACACTGGAGCTTGGGGGACATGGTCCCAAGGGAGGAGAGCAGGACAGAGGGGGTACCCATGTCCCTGGTGCCTCAGCAGAGCTGGGGTTCTCCTCTCCCAGGGGACCCGTCTTTCTCCTGACAGGGGAGGGCCGGCTCTTCCCTTGAGGTACAGGGCTGCAGGCTCTGGGACAGGGATGTTTTTGCAGAACAAAGGCACCCACCAGCTCTGCCTGGTGCGCTTGGCTCTGTCCTGGCCGTTGCTCAGTGGGCTGGGCTGGTTGGCACACTGACCCTGGGGGAGCAGGCATGGGTGGTCAGTGGCTGAGGCCAAGGCTGGGCCTCCATCCTGGGTGGGGATGGGGCTTTGGGATGACACCACCCCCTCTGGGGTAACTGGGGGATGCTGAAGCTGGAAGGAACCTAGTACCTCCCAGGATTCACAGCTGGAGAAGAAAGGGTTTAGGGGCTGGAGGAAGCAGGCTTGCAGGATACAAGCTGTGTGGGGACCGAGGACTAGATTCCAGAGCCACAGTCTGGGGGCTGGGGGCTGCAGACTGGTTAGCCAGTAGCCACTGCCCGGGGCCCAAGGGTTGCTCAGCCCTTTCCCCAGGCCTGGGCACCATGTCCCTATCAGGAAGTCACAGTAAGCCTCCTGGGTCCTGCTTGATTGGACAGTTAGCCAAATGAAGGACAGATGGGTTAGCTGGGCTGGAGGTTGGTGGGGTAGTGGAGTGGGGGGTAGGAGTAAGGCAGTCATCACCGAGGCCAGCTGCCCACTGCCCCCAGAATGCCTCAGCCTGGGGCTGGGGACAGCCCCGGGAGCCCCCTCCTCCCCAGGTCACGGAAGTGTGGCTGGGTGTTGGCTATGGGCAGGTCACATTCGCCCTGCCCTCGTGGGGAGGGGCTCCCTGCGAGTGGGGGAGGCAGATGCTGGTTTGGAGAAGACGGGGGGACAGCCTCACCCCATCACACCTGCTCCTGGACATGGCCAGCTAGGCAGTGCCAGATGCATGCTCGTGGCCCCCAACCATGGCCCAGGGTGCAGGTGGTTGGGAGGTGCAGTGAGACAGCCCCATAGTCACTAGACACAGTTCTTGGAAGGACCTGGAAGAACTGGGACAGGCCCCCGGTTCCCTGGATTCTGGTTGCAGCAAGACTGCAGACTCATGGCTGGGAGCTAAGCCGTGGAGGGCTGCAGATGTAACCAGGCCCCCGGAGGCTGTGCTGGGAGACAGACAGGCTGGTGTCGGGAAGGTGGGGAGGGGTGAGGGGGTAAGGGAGTGGGGGAGGTAGAGATACAGAGAACAGAGAGGGACAGGGAGGAAGACAGGGTCAGAAAGTGAACAGGTGCTGTCAGGTTGGCTCTTACTCACAGCGAGCCTATGTACAAAAGAACAAAACACTGCCTGGTCCTGCGCCCATCGTTGCAGCTACGGTGTCCGTCTTGTTGAGAGGCAGAGTGACAGAATAAGGAGGAGGAGGAGGAGAGGGAGGCACCGTAGAGGGAGACAGGAACACAGATGGACAGAGCTGACAGGAGAGACCATAGGAGTGGGAGGGAGCAGACAGCGCGATGGGGATGGGAGAGAGCTGGGAACCTCTCCTGTGCCCGGGCCCCACTGAAGCAATTACGGCCAGAAGTTAGTCTGTCTGCCTGCCTGTGCGTGGTGGTGCCATCGGCAGTGGCTGCGGGAAAGGCATGGAGCATGTACAGGGTATAGGGACACCTGAGGGGGAAAGGTCCCTGGACACAGCAGCCGAGTCAGCCTGCACTGACCCTTTGCCCGTCACCTCCCCCTGGTGGACATGGGTGGCACCCTCTACTCCTCCCGGGTGTGGTCAGCCCTGAGGTGGGCAGACTGGGCTGAGCTGGCAGCTCTGCACAGACCCCAGCTCACTCCGTGGGTCACCGTGGGGCTTAGAGGCCTCCACCAGAAAAGATCCTTCCCCCGTTGTTTACTCCCAGGCAGAGCAGAGGGGTGCCCCCTTCTCAGCCCAACTCTTTACTCTCCATTTCAGCCCCAGGGGCCAGGACTCAAGCTAGGAAGTTCCTCGCCTCCTGGGAGCCCCTATAGCGTCTGCAGGCGGGGTGGTGGGCGGACAAGAGCTAGACCCATGGCTCACACATTGTGGGTGCCCTCAAAGGCTGGCCCTGGCCCATCCAGCTGCACTGTCCCTGGCCCAGCCCTTGGTGGATTGAGGACAGGCAGAGGGAGAAAGAGGGGCCTCTGGGAGGTCACCCCTGCAGGCCCGGGCCAATCCCATCACCTCCCAGGTCCCCGTGTGAACAAGGTGCCCCTAGGAATGTGAACTCTCCGGCACACCAGGCATGGGCGGGCTTCAACAGCAGGGATGTCGCTGCGGAGTTCTCACAGACAAGACCCAAACACTGCACGTGGGTGGAGCGGGCCCACACACAGCATCCCAAGTGGGAAGGGGGTGAAGGGCGGAAGGTGGCAGGCACCAGGCTCCAGGAGACCCCAGCCCTAGCTCAGGGGCCCTCTCCTGACCCATGCAGCCACCAGGATGGGCCGGGTGTCTGGTGGGTCATAGATAGAGCAAAGAGAACCAAGCGGCTTTCCTGAGCCTGAACCCTGGCAGGCATGGTGCAGGACCCCGGCTCAGGCCTTGAAGGTTGCACTCACCGTTCGTTCAGCCACCTGTGTGGGTGGACACCAACAGCCCCTGACGGTGGTGACAGCGGCCAAGCCAGGTATGGAGGAGCAAGTGATGGAGACGATGGTGAGCCCCTGGGTGTGGGTCTGAGGCAGCCTTGGGTGGGCGGTGTCCTTGCTGCAGGACCCCAGAAAGGGGACACATCTGTGGATCTCCCTCTGGACCCAGGGACCTCTTGGGTTCTTCCAGAGTTGGTTCTGCACCCTCAGAGGAGGAGCTGTCAGCCCTGGGGGGATCGGTTCTGTTGGCCAGGGACCTGAAGTGGGGTGGCAAGGCCAAGCCATCCGTTGATGCCCCCTCTGCAGCCCAGTGACCAGCGGGGGCAGAGCGCCCCCTGGTGGCCGCACACGCATCAGCTCAGTTCCCGCCCGCCCAGCCTCCTGAGGAGGCTGCTTTAGCCCCACCCAGGCCCTGGCCTGGGAGCTGCTTTCTCAGCCCAGTGACGAGAGCGCCTGCGCTCAGGGCTGGGGACAGGGGAGCGCCGACAGCGAGGTCACAAGCGAAGGCCATGCTCAGTGAGCGATTCCTGCTGCTTGTGGTCATGAGCTCCGGACACAGGACGCGGGTGTCCGCGGTGGTGGACTAATGGCTTCCCAGCGAGCCTCACTGCCGGGAGAGGGGAGATGGGGGGCGCTGGTCCCTGGACAGCTGCCCACCCCGCCTCCCAGCTTTTAGGAACTCAAGAGTTCAAGGAACGGCCCCTGAAGGTCAGCTTTGCCACCATCCTGCTTTTACTTATTTTCCTGGAAACTGGAAAAAATGAATCTTAGCAGCAAGTGCATCAAGCCTGTCATGGGCTTAAGGTGCTCTGGTGGCGCAGTGGTTAAGGCATTGGGCTGCTAACCAAAAGGTGGGCGGTTTTAACCCACCAAGCACTCCAATGGAAAAAGATGAGGCAGTCTGCTTCCCTAAAGATTGACAGCCTTGGAGACCCTGTGGCAGTTCCACTCTGTCCTCTAAGGGCGCTGTGAGTCAGAATAGATTCCAAGGCAGTGGGTTTGGTTTGGGCTTTGCTTCTGTGAAGACTGACAGCCTTGGAGACCCTGTGGGCAGTTCCACTCTGTCCTCTAGGGGCGCTGTGCGTGGGACTCGACTCCACAGCAGTGGGTGTGGTTTGGTCTGACAGCCGGCTTGGTGAGGGGCAAAGAAATGGGAAAGTGCAAAGAAAAGTTGTTATTAGGTGCCATCCAGTTGGTTACAACAGGAGGAAAAGGCAAGAATTTGCAAGTTCAATCCTTAAAATAGGGCTTCCTAGCCCAGGTGGTGTGGGAGCTCTGGTAGCATAGTGGCTAAGGCACTTGACTGCTAACCAGAAGGCTGGCGGTTCAAACCCACCAGCCACTCCTCGGAAGGAAGGTTGGGCAATCCTACTTCCGTAGTGATACTGCCTCAAGAAACCCAAGGAGGGGTCCCTATGAGTCAGGGCTGACTCGACGGCACATAACAACAACAACAACAACAGCCCAGGTGGTGTAGTGCCTAAGGCATTTGACTGCTAACCAGAAGGCTGGCGGTTCAAACCCACCAGCCATTCCGCGGAGGGAAGATGGGGCAATTTACTTTCATAGAGATACCGCCTTGGACCAGGAGGGGTTGCTATGAGTCAGAACTGACTCTACGACACTGAGTTTGGTTTGGTTTTTGGAGCCCAGTTGAGAGAAGTGAGGAAGGGGAGCTGGGGGAGGGCGGGAGCAATTTCCAGGGTCCCACTGTGCCCTGCAGGGGCTGGCATCCTGGCCCCGGGGGGCTCCACTGCCCACAGGGTGATAGGGGCACAGGCCCTGCTATCCTGGTCCCACCCTTTTTTCCTGACTTGATCTGGGCCTAGTGGGGACCATGAG